TCCTTTCTTCATATACGCTACAACTCATAGGATATGTAACAATTCTTCACAGCACATAACATCGAGAGTTGCTCTTACGATTAATAAGTCCCTATTAGTTTGAAGAAAATAATAATCATTTTCGCACATTTTATGATTTCTATCTCAAAAAGTTGAAGTCATTCATTTATATTCACTTTTCAACAAAGTTTACTATTACGTAATAATCATTTTTGACCATGTTTGTTAGAAGATAATGATTTATTGAAACAAGATCAGCTTATGATTTACGCCCGTGTACATTTTTTATAAATATTTTCAGTTTTACGGACGGGGATAATTTCCCACTAGCTCGATACCTGTTTATGAATTTAAATGCTTATTCATTCTCTCTAACCGATGCTAATATTCACCTGAAGAACTTATCTCTTCGTCTATTCTTATTGAACACAAACTGATATTGTTGTCTTTATGTATATATTGAGTGAGTCAATAACTTCATTCTATTTTATCTATGCATACACGTTAATTATAATGGATGTGACTTTCAAAATCTAAACTTTTTGTAGACAAATTTCTTATTAAATATAGCATACTTGCTTTTGAATTGGTTTTTGAGCCAATTGTGAGTGTTCGAAGCCGATGAAAATGTTGCACAATCTTATGTACATCAGTTGAACATTGTGCACCATAAATAATTAAATTTATAACCTTTTGTGTGTATTCCGAACCAATTAGCATGGAATTAGCTATTGTGGCTGGAATGATAATTGAAGGTAAGTCACAAGGAATTGTATGAATCACTGCATACTTATTCAGTTTATCTAGCAAGCATGCTATTCGAATATGAGCTGGCCATGTAGATAGCAAAGTATCTACTTCGATATGTGAATCGGAAAAGTAATAAATAATGAATAAGTGGATCTCGGCAAGTGATGAAGGTAGAATTCGAGTGAAATTCTGTCCATTGATAAGATATGCATCTTCTGTGCATAGATCTAATGCTAATCGCTGTAAAAGTGGCATCTTACCCAAGAGATAAGCAATTTCGTCAAATGACCAGTGCGTGTTTACCGAACGTAACTGAAAATCTTTTAGATGAACAAGAGGCGACGCATTCACTATTGTCGATTTTGAAGCAGAGGATGCTTCATCAAAGTCAATATGTAAACGATTAATATATGGTACAAGTGTGAATAGATATTCTAAAGTTTTATCTGTTTTTAAGTTTACTATCAACTCTTCAATGTTCGGATAAGAAACAGCTTCGTCATTGCTAGTCGCGTTCGGAATAAAATAGATTGAATCATGATCGAAAAATACAGATTTTAGTCGATTATTATTAGCAGCTAGAACTTCTTTCATTGATTCTTCTGTATGATCACCTTGAAAATTTCTAATATCAAGCTTGACAAGATGCGAAAGGTCTGTGATTTTGTGAAGAAATAAATTTAGTTGTCGATTAATGAAATATATGAGTGACAATCTCTGTAATTGTGGAAACATTAATGATAAACTCGAATGAAAGAATCCTGAATGTTGTTTGTTGAACAAGATATTTTCCCATAGTCCATTGAACACAAACGATTGTATTGATGCGCCAATTTGAGGAACGATTTGCGTCGTAACAAAATCAAACTGTTTATATGTAACACCTATGAGATTCACATGATGACAGAAATTAGCTATTGTCGAATTGAAACGAGAATTCAGATTGAAAAGTGAATAAAGAATTTCGGCACCATGAAGATATTGACATATGAGTAATATCATTTCATCTGGTAACATTTCAAACGTTAAGACCTTTTCCATTCGGAACGGTTAAACTTGCAGTATATTTAATTAGTAGAAGATATGTGCGATTTGTTTGATTCAAAATAAAACATTCGCTGCATGCTTTAAATACGATCTGACTCACCAAAAGAAAAAACAAGTTGTGAAGCATGCGTGTCGAAAAGAAAAGCCACGTGTTCTTTTGTATGTGTGTTATGCCAATGCAAGGAAAGAGAAACGATTATTTTTGCATAGGCAGTGTGGTGGCTATGCATTGTGGATGTGTGGTGCAGAGGTAAGCGTGTGGCTGTGGCAATGAGAGTATAGGTTTTCGTGAAGGACCCCCCTCCTCAGATATAAACTCTATAATTTTTCGTCGGATTTCAACCAAAATTTCAGAGAAAGTTATTCTTGGCTAGAATATATTGTAGATAACATATTTGCCTCCAATTTATGGCAAAAAAAGTCGCTAATTAAGATTAAAGATCTAAATCTTTTATTTCAGCAAAAGAGAAATTCACAAGTCAGGTTCTATTACGACCTGGCTCTAACTGTCTGCTGTATATAAAAGAAAAAGGTACTACTTTTATATTAAGTCGTTAATAACAAAGGTTTGCTCGCGTAAACAGTATACTCGAAAACAAAAAGGGTTTTGAGGAAACCGAAAAATAAGTTTAGACACTGTAATTCAAAGTCTCTTCCTCCATAATTTTTCATAGTTCACTGATTAGCACGAATCAAATGAACGTACATGAAGATGCAGACGATAATTTTTTTTTCGTTTTCATCTGGACATACTACGTCCACCAAGATACCAACAACAATCAAGGTTTTAGAAAAAAGCAAATTTTTTCTGTAGGTGGGTTCAGAAAAATTTCTGTAACATCCTGTTAAGTATGTTATTATATATATATATATATATAATGGACATCATTTCTATAATATGGTCCTAGACTTTTTTCTTGACAGACCTTTTGTAACTTTAAAAACTATAGGATTTTGTAGCTCGTGAAAAATACTATCCGACAAGCTATAATAAAAGCTGACTTCCTTGAGTTTACATATTCCAAATTGATCTGAAAGACTATTGTTTCATCGATTTGCTTTCCTAGAAGGATTATTTCATATCTTGAAGTTCTCTAAAACCATACATTGAGAAGTTAACTTTCGGGTAAAAATATAGCCGAAAACTAGGGCTATTGTGTATACTTTGAAGTACTTCCCATGCACTCAATACTTATCTGTAAATAAGTTTAGTTTTCACATATATGTGTGATCAGGTTTAAGAGATAATCTGGCATATTTATATGATCAATGTATGATTGAGAAAGTACTTACATGTACTTGAAATATACCTCAAAAGCTGGTATCAACGTACTCTCACATTAAAGTTCTTGTACCCTATATATAACTATGCTGGATTTAGTGTGAAAACAATTTCGTGACCTGAATCAGGTTTTTTTACGCCTCTGTCCTTTAAGACAGTTATTTGAAAAAAATAAATTAATAAATTTTTTCATTTAGATTGGTTTCAAAAACAAGTTCCAGAGTACGTATTTATTTAAATAACTATTATTTTCCATTTCAAAATAAACGAAGAGTGGATATTTTTAGAATAACTTTTGATAGAAACAAGATGAAAATCTGCTGTGTTCACTGTTTAAAATGAAAGATGAAACTGCATCGAATCGTATAGACCAGATTTTTCTGACAAGTTTTCCCATGGTCTGCCATTAAGTTTATTAAAAACAAACATGGTGTAATGTAAAAGTTTTAGGGTTTTAATTTTCAATAATACACTAGAATCATTAATTAAAGATCTGTAAATTCGGTAAGTCCAATATTACAAGATTGAGCCAATCATGAGTCATAAATATTTTACTACGTGTTATCAGAAGATCTTTTAACAAAAATGGAGTTTTTTTTTCAATTTTTTTGACGAAAAATTCACCTTACAAATCTATGTAAAAGCTTCGATTTTTTAAAACGCTTGACGAAAGACCTTAAGAAAATTTGTCAAAAAAATTTGATCTGTACGATTCGGTGCAGTTTCATCTCGCCTTTTAAATGGCAAAAAACGCATATCTCTATTTTGTTTCTATCAAAAATTATTCCAAAAATGCTCACCGTTCTTTTATTTATCTAAATATTTTTTCTTCTTTTGCTTACGAAAAGAGGAGCAAGGAAAAGTTGCCGTCCTCTTCACTGATGAAAATATTACGGGATTACAATGGCACATGAGGTCGTATAGAACTGGCCACGATGGTGTACACTGAGAGTGCATACATCATATTTCGTCGTAATATCTGAGATGAGATAATACGATCGTAAACAATCATAATTTACGTTGTATATGACCATACACGCATGCATCTGATGCTGTCTACAAAAGCTCATAACTGTCGCCACAATGCCCGTTTTGGGAAAATTTGTCACCATTTTTGTGGGGTATCGAACCACTGATGAAACTAAGTGAAATGAATGCATTTCATTAGAGTAGTGTTGAAAATGTTTAACTAAGTTTTTGTTTTTGCCAACCACTTTCATCCAATCTTTCTTCTAAACTAATTCGTATAGATCTTCATTTTACGTCACAAAACTAAGACAATCTACTCAAATTAATTTCATCTATGATCAACTTTGGCGTAATTGTTCATAAACTTTTAATCCTAAATATTTCATAATATTATTAACGTACGAACTTTTATATTGCGTAGACATGATTCTTTCGATGGATAAAAATCAATCAAATTATTTATTTATTTATGATTGTTTTTCTTTTTTTATTAATATTTCAATATTAAAACAAAAATTAGATGAAAAGAATACTAACTACCGATCATCTATTGAGTAACAGAAAAAGTTAGACAGAATGTACTTTTTTGAAAGAAATGAAATGTATAAAAAGTTCATTGAATTACATCAGAAAACTTGCACAAGCAGAAGAAAAAGGGAAATCTCGAATGATTTTCTTCTTTGTTGGAAAATGAATATGAAAAACAAAACATCTTCATATTAATGGAGAAAAGAAGACAAGCCGATATATTGATAATAGATAAATTGAAAAAGAATAGAAAGGAAAGAAAGAGTAGAGAAAAGGTGAAGGGAATGTCAAGTTCCCATATATGCATAACGATTGAGGAATGATCCTCACTCGTTCATGGTATAATAGATTATTGATATAATAAACATCGAAAATAACAAAAGGAAATCATCTTCTTTTGTATCAAAAAATATTTCCAATAGAGTTAAACTGGTAAAGTATAGACGGGTTTCATAGAGCGAACAACTGTACCAGCTGATAAACCAGATTGATTTCGAAGTTTCAATGCTCGTAATCGAGATTGACTACCAGCTGAAGTTCTTTGATGCCGTCTTGAAATACTATTAACAGTAGGTTTGAATATCGTTGTAGCCACTCTATTCGGTTTATTCTCATTTCCCGCAACTTCCCATCTTTCACCATGAACTTGAATTCATAAAAATGTTTCTTTGAATAATAAAAACAGTAGATCCATTCTTACCTGCCCAATCGAGACCAGCAATTTCATCTTGAATTGAAATACGAATACCGATTGTCCATTTTAAAGGTAATAGAATCGCAAGTGTACATGCACCACTAAAACCTAATAAGAGCATATATAAAACATCATTTAAAAAAAGAAATCGTAATGAAATGAAAGCAAACCAATTGCAGTAAGAATTCCAGCTAGTTGATACCACATTTGAATTGGATTACCATAGAAAGCACCATCGGCACCATTTATTGTATTCATTGATCGTTGACTAAATAATCCTGTTAAGAAAGCACCTATGATACCACCTAACAAAAAACGAAATTATAGACAAAAAGACCTAAGCATATCTAAATAGTTTACCTCCACCATGCATAATACCAACATCGAGTGTGTCATCTATTCCAAGTCGATGTTTATAGAGAAGAGCAATATAAATAATACAAGTTGCTATTATTCCGAAAAGAAGAGCCCAACCAGGCTGAATGAAACCAGATGCAGGTGTTACTGCGACCAAACCAATTAAGGGACCACAACAAGCACCTGATATTGATACTTGACCACGAATAAGATCTAATAGAATCCATGTTAACAAGCCAGACGCTGCAGCTGCATTTGTATTTATCGCAGCAAGTGATGCTAAACCACTAAACAAAAAAAAAATAAAGAAAACGAATAACTAGGCCTAGAAATTTCCACGTAAGCTTTAATTACTTGGCTGCACCAGCTGAACCACCATTGAACCCAGCCCAACCCACCCAGAGAAGACCAGTGCCTAATACTGTTAATGGAAGGTTGTGAGCAGTGTTTGGTTGGTAATCATAATCGTGCCGTTTTCCAATAATAAGTGCAGCAATTATACCAGAAACTCCCGACAGAATATGAACAACAGTTCCACCAGCAAAATCTAATGTTCCCAAATTTTTTAACCAACCATTTGAACCCCAAACCCAATGAGCCATTGGATCATAACATACTGTAGTCCAAACGAATATGAATATTATATAAGGAACCAATCGAATTCTACCGACAACTGATCCTGATAAATATTTTCATATTTATTGATTAAAACGAAGACAAAAAAAAAGGTTTAACTTACCAGATATAATTGCACATGTGATGATGGCAAATGTACCTTGATATGCAGCATAAGTTAAAAGTGAATACGTTGGACAATAAACTGGATCAAATCGATCCCCACTAAAACGTAATGCAGCTTCAGCAAATGATCCAAATCCAACACTAACTGGATCACCGAATGCAAATGAAAAACCAACTAATACCCATTGAACAAAAACAACTCCCATGCATAGAAATACTAAAAATAGTTGATTTAAGACATTTTTCCGATGAACTAAACCAGCATAGAAAATTGCTAATGCTGGAGTCATCATTAATACTAAGGCTGTTGATGTCATCATCCAAGCATTATCTCCAGTATCGATTGGACTAGGGGCAGTATTTGTAGTTGTAGTTGTACTAGTTGTCGTAGTAACAATGTTAGACATTGCAACTCTCGACAACTTTGAAATACTGAAATGCAAATAAAAGACGAAGTTTCAATGTATATTCAATCGAAGATTGAATGAAGGCAATCAATCGTAGAAATACATAATGATGATGTTTTGGGGGAAAGAAGATCGAAAGACTGATTCTCTCAATGTGTGACATGTTGTTTGTTTAAAAATACTAGCCAACAAAATGCACTGATGATTGTGGGTCGTCAAACTCGATTAAATATCGTCAAAGACAAAATAAAACAAACGCAAATTATCACTGATTGGCCCATGCATAAACATTCATGTGTTCTGTTACTTCACTAACGTGACGAAGATCACGAATAAAGCACATGTATCAAGTAAAAGTATATTTTTTACTAATAGCCCTGCATATTTTGTGAATGATTGGATCCATAGTATTTGTTGACACAAGCTTGAATATCATGAAACTCTCGTTGATAATGACGAGCAGTATGTTGATTCATGCCAGTCGGACAGTTGAATGCCTTTTCTTTTCTCATTGCCAAATATAACACCATGTATGCAGACACGTTGTTGCATTTTTTTTCTATTCAACTCATATGATTAACTATGTCAAAAGCAATCAGTCGTGAAGTACCATGTTTCTCAAATTACCGACAAAAAATCAAATGAAACCTTCCATCTTGCATCAGAGATAAAGAACATAACTGAGTGTGCTAACGTACGATCGAGCAAACTGTTTGAATCCGATGAAATTATTGCGTTTGAGAAAGTGTCGGACAAAAATAACTTTTTTCTTCTTTGAAGAACAATCACAATCATACTAAACCGCTTTCCTGATTTGTTGTGTGTTACCCGTTTTTCACCTACGGTGAAGACGATTCAAAATTCAAGTGCAAATTGTCTTTTTCATGTTTTTCACACATGTTTCAATAGAGGACGGGTACATTTTTTGCGAAAAACTGGTTTTCGTCTTTTCAAAAAATATAGTTCAGGTCACAAAAATTCAAAAACTGAACGAGACAGTTTTTTTGCGAGAAATGCATCATTTTTCAAAATACAGAAAGTTTTCTATTTTACTTTTCTTTTTAAAAGTAAAAATAAATGTAACTTCGAATGGATTTCTTTTTTTTTTTCTTAAATTTCATTTGCGTAATTTTGGATGTTTTTCCCCATGACCAGAATATGAATATGAATACAAATTTGACTATTATAAATGCAATGTATAGATATTAATCATTATACCATGACCATTTATAAATTAGAAGTAAAATGATTTCATCATATTTCATTTGATGCTGATCAAAGTATATACTTTAAAAGAAACAATATAAGTACTGTTTATTTTACATGAATATAATTATATATATATATGAGAATAAATGCAGCTTCGAATGATTTAAAATTTTCTTTTTTGTTTGATATTTGGTCTTTTTTCGACCATCATTACAACACAAATATTAATACAAACTTGACCATCATAAATACAATTTGTGAATATTAATCATTCTACCATGACTGTTCATGAAATAGAAATAGAATGATTTTTGCATGCTTCAATAGCTGCTAATTAATGTAAATACTTTAAATGAAATCAATGAATATGGTTTTTTTTTAGATAAATATACTTATGGGGCATACCAAAAGTAATGACGTCAATACTATAAAATCTTACAAAAGGCTCGAGAAAATTTTCTTTCGATGTATACTGATAGACGAAATTGTGCTCTATAATTCTACAATATTTCATAATTCTCCAGATGATATCAAAATACTGAGAGCATAGCAAGAATAGTTGCAACTACACAAAAAAAAATATAAGCAAGTTGATTAAGTTTTTTTCCATCAAATGTTCAAAGTTGTCAGCTTTGTTGTTTACATATATTTGCATCCGTTATATCCATTTATCAAAAATCTTTGTATATTTTTCTTTTTTGAACAAGTTCATAAACTTATTCACAGCTCAATGCAACGATTTTGAGTCATCTTGATCGCTAAGACTTTGTTTGATCAAGTCAAATAGTCAAAAGTTACATGAAGCCAGATCCGAAGAATTAGGTGAGTGTCGCATTATTGTTATGTCTTCCAATGCAAGATAATTCCATACATCTTCATGAATACCTGGTTTCAAAGTAACGTGATACAGTTTAATTGCACGGGTACCCAGCGAAGGTCGTTGGTTCTTGATTACTTGATAAACTTGCTTACATATTTTTCAATTGTTCAAGAAAACTAAAGTGTGGGTGTAATAGATCTGCCCATAATGTCGCAACAATCAAAGTTATTTTAGTCTGGTAGGTCAAAGTAGCGCTGATGGATGCAATATCATCGCTAATACTGACGCTTAGCTAATCGTTTGTATTGGTGCCGCAGTGGAGGATGCATAGCACTGCCTGTAGGAGACTATCTAGGTGAAGTTCTTGGAAACTTTTGTAGTATACGTATACAGTCGAAAGTATGAGTTTCAATTATTTTGCTGTTGAATGTATGAAAATTACAGAGATGATTAATTTTAAGGTTTCAGTTGTCGCTAGACTATATGAGGATAAGAGGGATTAACTGCACAACTACTAAAAAATGTCCGGAAACTCACATACGGTACTGTACATATGTATTAGACCTACAAGAAAGTTCCTGAGAATTCTATTATGGTCATTTTATGTATCATGTCGATTATGAACACTTCCGCCAACAAGTCCATAGTAGTCGATTTCTCAATGGTCGAACTCTTCGCCATACTTTTGGATTTACGGTGATTTTCAGCTAATCACTACCGATTAGCAAATCGTCTTATGGGCGGAAAGCGTACAGTATACGCTTCACAATTTTTGAAAGAGTAGTTACTAACTCTGAATATTGGCTCGTATCAAATGTGAATTAGTTCCTCCTGAAAAATTGCAATACTTAGTGGCGTTCGTCACCTCAGAGCAATGCATATGTTAATATTATTCGTTTCAGAGTGCAAATGAAAATATAAGAAACGAATTAATGTTTTCTTTCCTGTCGCAGTGATACAGCAACCTTATCTGAACTGTAAATTATAATAAGGGTAGCAATGTACCTTTTCCATTTTTCGTTTTAGTGATATGGCAGTCCTATCCGAGCAATAGATTTTAATTCGGATTAAATTGCGTCTTTTGTTTTTATTGCTATAGTTATATGACAACTTTTATCTTACATAAATAATACTTAAGATAAAATTGAGCTCTTTACTATTTTACCGCCGTTTTATGGCAGCACTTTTTGAACTATGAAACATACACAGCATAAAAAGTGTATCTTTTGCCTTTTTACTGCTGTTGCATGATATGTCTATCTGAATTATCAATTATAATCAGGACAAAATTATATTTTTCTTCTTTTTACTGTAGCTATATGACAGGCCTATCTGAGCTAAGAAATATAAATAAGATAAAAGTTCATTTTTTTTTATTTTTTTTTTTACCCCAGCTGCATGACGGCACTCTTTGAATCATAAATTATAAATAGGATAATCATTTTACCATTTCCTTTGTTCGCTGCAGCTGTATGACAGTGGTATCTGAATAATAACTTTGAAATAAGATAAAATTTTATTTTTTCTTTAGTATAGTTTACGACAGTCATATGTGAATCATAGATTTCAATTGGATTAAAATTTTAGTTTTTGCTTTTATTGTCGTAGCTGTATGACATCCTTATCTGGATTATAACATTGTAATGAGGATAAAATTCTAGCTTTTGTTTTTCCATTCTACTTATGCAGCAGTGGTAACTGAATTGTAAAAAATTAATTAAAACAAAGTTTTATGTTTTTCTTTTTTTCCTATTTATATGATAGTCTTTTTTGAATCATAAAATATAATCAGGATAATATTTGATCTTTTACCTGTTTGTCTGCTATATGACAGAAGTGTTAGAGTTATAAATTATGATGAAGATGAGATAATATTTTCTTCTTTTGTCTAGGAAGTGCTGAAGGGATTTCGAAGTTATAACTTATTGTTGAACTCGACTTTAAGGGGTACTTCTGTAAGCGTTCATTTAATATTAGTTTTATTTCTTTTGATAAGAAGGCCGATTGCAATAGAACACACTTATTTATATGTATTTATAAAAAAAAAAAGAGAGCTAAGATGCGTTTATTTGCTCAACTTACGTCGTACGATAGATTTTTGGGAAACAAAAGTTATTATTGTTCCTCTCCTACTGTTGTCTTTGTAGTATTTCTACTTAAATTCAGTAGTCTACGTCGGTTGATTCTTTTTCTTCCTCATAGTCTGTTCGGTCGGTGTATTCAAACGGTTATAAATTTGTGACAGCTTTTTTTACTTCGCTTTCATGTTGCAGCTGATAAATGAATGTGTTCTAATGGCAGTATGGATAGGTTTACAAGACAGCATCTCGCATCAAAAGTTTTCTTTTGATCGCTCGAATTTGTGCAGCCAAGTCATTTGATTGCTTGCAGTACAGTAGCTAAGGTTATGCTTTCCATTTTCTTCATACTTCTCTTCTTTTTTTATTTTTATTCGTCTCGAAACATGAGTCTTCAGTCAAGACAGTTATCCATTTTCATCATCAGAGCGTCATTTTGCTTTAGGAGAAGCCTTATTGAGATAGTCGAAATACAACGAATACATATATAAAATGTGTTTTTCGAAATTTGCCTCTAGTCAGGAGCTATAAAAATGGGGAAAATATGATGAACAGCTGAATCTTTTCTTTTATGGTCAATGGTAACTCGTTAGAACATTTCACCACAATAAAGGAGTGTGACTTGGAATCATCATCGCATTATACCTTTTATCGAGTTCAATTCTACAGTTAATCAGCTTTTCAATCTGAATGATGCCCAAAATACATTCTAGTTTATTCTAGCTCCGATTATTTTGAAAAAAATTTGGTAATGGCTGACAACGAAAGTTTAAACGGTATGAAAAACACTTCATTCGAGATTTCTGACAATGCTTTACCACGTACTGCTCGCTTTTGGCTACTTCTTCTATTCGATATTCTATCCACAATTTGTGCACTTTTCGTTCTCTTTTGTTTTCTTATTGATCGAAGGTTACGCTCTACCATGAGGCATCACGTACTTATTGTTTTACTTATTTTCGGCTTGGCTTCTCAATTAATTGATGTTCCTTTTCATCTAAGTTTTATCATACAGTCACATGTTGTTCTGCCGTATCCTTCCACCTGTCTTATTTGGTGGTTTATTGACATTGGTATGTACAACGGAGGAACCATAATTATGGCCTGGACCGCTCTTGAACGACATATTATTGTATTTTACGATCAATGGATTTTAACTAGGAAAAGACGCATATTGGTACACTATCTACCATTACTTTTTTTAATAATGTACATTTTCATTTACAATATTTATGCTGTTTACTTTTTTCCGTGTGAAAATGATTATGATTATACATCGCCACTTTGTGGTTCGTCTCCATGCTATCAAAGTGATCGAATTATGGGCATGTGGGATTTGTTTGTCAACAGTATTCTGCCATCATTTCTCGAGGCACTTTTCAGTTTTGCTTTTCTTTTTCGAGTTGTTTGGAATAGATATCGTGCTCATTTACCAATTCGATGGCGCAAACAGCGAAAGATGATGATTCAACTCATGTCTCTCTCTTCTCTCAACGTGGTCTCCAACGTTCCACTCAACATTATTGCTATTACTTATTTATGCGGTTTTTCATCAGCTGTTGGAATTAGCGCTGCACAATATTTCTTTTTTCTTTGTTATTTTGTCATTTTTCTCTTTCCTTTCATCTGTTTTGCGTCAATAAGTGGTATAAGCAAAAAACTTCAAGATTTTATAGTTCGTCGATGGCAACAATTTCAACGTTTCAAGGCGACGGTCGGACTGATTGGTTTAAGAACAGATGTGGCCATGCAACATTAAATGAAGCATTTTTAAAACCTGATTTGTATTGTTTATTTTCAAACTAAGAAATTCTAAAATCATAATAACAAAATTAAATTGAAAAATAATAGATCGTTGTGTTAATTTAATGTTTTTATTGAATGAAGACTATCAAATCTGTATTAGTGATACTCAGATTCGAAACTTATCTTTCACTCAAGATGATTGAATCTCATTTTTATCGAGAATTGAAAACGGATACGATTGATACAACACTGAAGCTAAGATGATGAATGAATTTCATCTGAAATCACAATGATTTTTGGATCTTTTGCGTCGCTTATATCAAGAAAGAATTCATTCAGAGATCAGTTATCATTGACTGAGATTACTGTCAAGAAGTCTTTTAATAGGAGGTTATGGAATTCTTCGATTTCAAGCTGAGATAATTTGCTCATTAAAATGTCTCGTTTACAATCGATCGAAAGCGAAAAATCATCAATTCCTTTCCTTTAGAGATTTTTTTGTTTTCAATAACTTCTTTTTTCGATTAAGAAGAATTTCTGGTCAACTAAACTTGAAACCTTTCAAATGAATCAATGACTTACCGATATCTTGATAAATTCTTAGGATGTAAATAATAAAATATTTCTGTCAGTTTTCAATTATCTTTTCTTATTAAAATCATAAATATACTCGACGACTGAAAATTACCTTTTTCTGTTGCTCTCTCAAAAGTTCATTCAACAAGGTGTGGATGTGGATATAGATGTGAGAGTTGTCTTGATAGACCCACACTCACACTCTCATGTTTATTCAACTAATCTAGGAGTTTCTTGTATTTTTGCTCAATAACGATTTAAAACTAATATTTAATCAACTATTCAAGAACATCAAACAAATCATGAATATAGAAAGTTTTTGTTTGAATGATCATTTTAGTTCACTTGAATTTATTTCATTTACGAACAACATTTAGAGTATGTCAATAGTTTTTTGTCAAATATGATCAGTTTTAATGTATAGGTTCGATGCGTCTGCGATGAAAAGTTAATCATTGTCGTACTCGCAAAGCAGCATGTAGACTACACCAGACAAAAATTTTTAAGCCAACTGTTAATTCACCATATAAGGCTAAAAATGTTGTAAATATAAAGAGAACATTGTTTTTTTTTCACATAAGTGTATTCATATGCTAATGGTGTACAAATTGAAAAATAACTTCAATAGTTCGTTTCGTGTTGCCATGCTTCAATAAATAATTCATCAATTAATCTACCCATGGGTACCAATGATACCGGAGTAAAATGAGAATGCACGGAAATATTGAATATCTTATTAGTCAAGTTAGATAATTTCTGTAAGCATGCTGAGTTGTAGAGACATTCTAATGTCGAAAGACGCAAACCATAAATAGGTAAACAACCAATAACAAGACCTGTAAAAAAAAGATGAAATTTTCTGAAAATGTATCATGTTATCTTTTCATTTTGGCTATCTAGAATTGATATCATAAAAACGTAGTTACCTACGTGTTAGAGCAGTTTTGAATGGCTTTTTTTAATGTCAAAGTAAGACGGTTAAAATAGTAAAAACTGAATACTCATAAAATGTATTCTTCTTTACTTGACATTCTGTCAGCTTCATTCCAGACGATAATTTATGAATGACAGTGTCCTCAAAATGATACTACAACAGTTTATATAGTTCAATAAAGTGCTCTAAGTAGGCACAACTGTGAGACGAATATTTTGAACTTTGATTCAAGTGACTCAAATTATGTTCCTGTTGATTCCAGTATAGAAAAGGACATTTTCGAATTGATTTCAATCATATTTTAAATGATTCTTCAATACACGTTTTTTTCATGTATATAGTCCCCTATAAGACCTTTTCCGGTCATGTCTTTTGAATAATTCTCCGATTGATATCATAAATTATGATGTCAATTTCGTAATTCTCAAGAACTATTTAACTATAAACTCGAGTAGAAGTTACGGTAATTTCTTTTCCTATAATCGCAATCTCTTGATTGTCTAATCTTCGTATATTTTAATTATATTTGTGTCAGTTTTCAATGTTTGAATATCGAAACCTTCAGCAACATTCTCTTGTAGATTAATTTATGTAGTCAACGTATTAGAAAAAGAGATTAAAACAGACCATCAATCACTATGACAAATAAAAATCTTACCTGATAACAGTACTGTCTTGTTATTATTAATCAAAATAGATCTTGAACATGTTGTCATAGTTGCACATGAACATGAAATATTAGTACTATCATATGTTATTGAATCTGTTGACATCAAATAATTCGCGCGAAAAAATGATAAACGAAGATCCTAATTTGTGAAGAATATATTATGTAGTTGATTGACATGAAACATATCATTAATATAGTTGTGGATTCGGTGAAAACTACTTGGTACTTAATCAATAAAATTCTCAATATTAGAATCAATTTGAATTTGAAAAGAATGACGAGTTAATGCTTCAATACTAATAAATTTTCACGAAGAAAATATTTTAATCTTTTGTTGGATTGTATTTTCTGCAAGAGAACAAAGTGATGCTAAAAGACGAAATTGAATACTTAATATTTTCATATCGATATTCCAATAATAACTGCTATATAAATCACTAATCCATAATAATTGAATAAAATTCGATGAAATAAAATAACTTGAACAAACTTGACGATAAGTAGCTGGTTTTACAGAAAGAAATTTAGAATATAGAACCAATATTTGTGAACATGGACATAATAATGATGATGAATACTGAACTTTTAGTTGTTCAAACATTGATTCTGTCCGAGACAATACTTTCATGGATTGTATCTGTGAATTTAATCCACTAAAAATTATTATAACTACAAGTGCCAAGATGAAAAAAATGATATAGAGTCGAGTAGCTATTCTTCGACGTTGTATCATTAATATTTCATCTGTTGTTTGTGATTTTTCTGATGAATGAGTCTTACGTACTTCACGATAAATTTTGATTGTTCAAATAGAATGTTGAAGTTGAAACATATAGATTCGTATCGTATGGCAAATACCTTAAAATATGAAAAAAAAACATAAGGAAATGTTTGCTCTTTATTAAAAATAGCAAATATTGAATTAGAGAGCTGCACCGATGCAACTTTTCGAAATCGTACCTGGTGCGAACAAGAATTTATTGATCAATATCATATTCGTATTGTTTATATAATCAAAATTCAGAAAAGCAATTTTTTTTTACTTAACTGGATTCCATAACAATAAAATAGTAATATTTATGCAATGAACATATAAAATTACGAAGAAATACAAGAAATTATAGAATATCAGGGCTTGAGGACTACCATCGATTCTCTAGTAGCCATCGAGTTTCGTTGAATATTGGGTTCACTACTTTTGAAACAAGTTATAATATATTCTAAATCTATATTCAAAAGGATTATTTATTTATCAACAATCAAGTAATTTGGTCACTATCTAGTGTGTGAGCATCTCTTGGATAAATAAGTTTCTTCTGCTTACAATCATTTAGTTCATCAAATCGATGGAAATATTCATCATCTACTGTATTATCACCTTTTTTCCACTAAATGATCTCAATATATCAGTAACAGTGTATAGAGTACTACATAGTTGAAATTTTTTCTGGCTGTTTTATACTCTTACTTGTATATATTCTATCAAAACCGAACTGTACCCGTGTGGGATCCCGACCCGCCGATTAAAGTATTTTGAAGTCAATATCTCGTCACTTTTTTTGGCATTTCAATTGCATAATATTCATCGATACCTGTTTTAATGATGTTTTCTGTTGGTGGCTGCCTTTAAAATCAAAGACATTGACGATATATTATCGTCTAACAAGTTTTACATTTGAAGGAATCAATATTTGAAGCATAGTAGAAAGACCACCAACTATACCAAGTAGTGTTGCAATCACATAAGCTCTATTAAAACGTTCTTCATAAGTATCAGTACATTGATCTAGTGCACATTGTTGATAATAAAAACTATAATTGATTGAATTTGCTCAATATTCAACAAATAATTGTGAAACAATCGTATTCAATTTAGTAGTGGAAGAAAAACGACTATCAGCTGTTGGATTAGGTGCCGTAACATTACGAACACGAGGATCTAGATTAATCTCGTATGATTAAAAAAAAATACCAATCAATATGCATTTGAATACATGATGTATTATAAAAACATTCAAGTGAGAATGCAAGAAGAGAATCAACAAATACACAACTAACAACCAAACCAGATATTGTTTGATTTGGTTTAGAAGAAACTAGGACACAACGTCCATCTTTTCTACAAAAAAAAAAACCTTCAGGAACGTCACAAAAAACGTTTGTTCCGCATGAAAAAAATGTTGCTTCATTTTTCGTTTGAAACGAAACGATATGAATCAATTACAGACGGTAATGTTTGACGTAACACAGCATTATTGCCCCAGCAGTAATGAATTGATTTACTTCAATTGACATGCAAATATTTTGAAATAGGTCAATAAAATAAGCTAAGATCTTAAATAATCAAAAAGTATCAAGAATTAAAACCGAACAACATCGAAACTGAAATATCCGTTGAGCATTTCGTACGATCTTTACTTAATTTACATCAACTATCTTAGAATCGTATGAAAATTTCAGAGATTGTAGACAATGATGACTTCACATTATATACAGGGTGATCCGAAAGTAACTCCCTATTTTAAATCCTTTATTACTCTCCAGCAACAAAATATATCTCTCTGATTTTTTTCACCAGTTTGAAGCACAGACTATGGCATTTTGTTCTAGGTGAAGTAAATTGATTGATCGTTTGACTGTCCAAGATTAAGCTCGAAGCACAGATGTCATAATACCAATACGACGGGTATCGACAGCCAGCCGTCACGATACCCTAAAGAATGAACGACGAAAGTATATTGACATTTCCATCACATATTGTACCGAGAAGTAATCAATTCATTACCGTACCAAAAATATACCCATCATATAACTTGGGAAATATGAGTGGATTTAGGGTATTACTCTTCACGTAATAGCATCTCAATGCATATCGATACAGCTGTGTATTTGAAAGCTGAGAGATGTGAATGGATTTGCTGTAACGACCTCGTTACATATAATGAACTATGTATTTAGAAGTTGAGGCACATGAGTGGATTTGCTGTAACGACCTCGTTACATAAAGTGAACTATATATTTAGAAGTTGAGGGATGTGAGTGGATTTGCTGTAACGACCTCGTTACGTAAAGTGAATTCACGTCTCATTACGGAAAGGGTAATACCCTAAATCCACTCATATCCCTCAACTTCCATATTCATAGTTCACTTTATGTAACGAGGTCGTTACAGCAAATCCACTCATATTCTTCAATTTCTAAATACATAGTTCACTTTATGTCCCATTACGGAAAGGGTAATACCCTAAATGCACTCACATTCCTCAACTTCTAAGTATATAGTTTGTTTGATGTAACGATATGGTTACACTGAATCCATTCATATGCTCTAATATTACAAGATGCTCCTTAGATGTTGGTGATGATAATGGGATCGATATGCGTGGTATGTAATGGCGTAATTACTGAGGATAAATATGGATACGGGCTGTAACAGGATTATGACATCACTCGCTCGAAGTTAGTCTAGAGTATGTATGAAAATGGCTCATTGTTTTGAGTAGTTTATTCTTCTTATACGAAAACCGATACTATCACAATTTTATAAAATTTTTTGAAGCGTATCTAATTTCGTAACATACAATGTCTCAAATCTCCACATAGGCTTCTTCGTTGTCGATATACTTCTGTAATCGAACTGCCACATTGCTCGTTGAATTCTTTAGAAATTCTTGGGGAACGTTGTTGAGGACAGTACGAATTCGTTCTTCCAATTCTGCCAAAGTTTTCGGATTTGTTTTATACACTTCTTCCTTTGCCCAACCCCAAAGAAAGAAATCACATGGAGTGAGGTCAGGACTTTTTGGGGACCATGATGTTGGGCCTCGTCGATCTATCCATTTGGAAGGAAAATTACTGTCAAGACAATTCAGAACTGTGCGAGTATAATGGGACGGTGCACCATCGTGCATAAATATGAGTTCATCAGTGTTGTCCCATTTACTAATAGTAGACCACATGAAGTTTTGTAGGAAACCCAAATAACGCTCACCATTCATGGTGTCATGTAACAGATATGGATCAATAAAATTGGTCGAGGTAAATCCACACCACATCATGATTTTCGGTTGTGATTGCACCTTCTCAATCGTCATACCTCGATCTTTATCACTCCAGTAATGACAGTTGTGCCGATTAACAAGTCCTCCGACATGGAAAGCAGCATCATCAGACCATAAAATGTTGTCAAACAGTTCGGGCCAGTCGTCTTACCAGTCAAGCATAGTTTCACTGAATTCCATACGAATATCAGTCTTCTGGAAAAATTTGTTGTACTAAGTGAGGTTTCCATGCACAATAGTGTAACTCTTTTGTCAGAACAGATTGAATTGTGCGATATGTCAAACCAGTTTCTACCGAAGCCTTTCTAATAGAGGTCGTTGGACTTCGGGTGAACATTTCTCGAACGAGATCAACAACTTCCGGTGAACGAGAGGTTGAGCGCCTTCCAGAACGTTTGATATCGCATACAGAACCAGTTGTCATTAATTTTTGATGACAGTTTGTGATGGTCTTTGTATCAAGTGTGACATGTTTGTAGTCTCGTGTGGGATTAATAAACGATTTCTGTTTTAATTTGTTTTCTCCAACAAGTGCTTATTATCCTTGTTTTCTTTCTCTCCGGGCTGTGTGTATGTGCACGTGTAGACGTTTTTCTTTTACTTCTCTTATCTTCTTCCCGCTGTATAGTATTATGTCCTTTCTTTTTTCTTTCTCCATTCGTCTGCGACAATTATTGATATTCTCAAATGCTTTTCTTTCGTTTCCTGTTCTACTTTTTACTTTTTCGTATTGCATAATTATAAAAGAGATACATGACATCACCTGCTTCGCATTACAAACTTGCAAATTAGAGAAGAAATACAGCTGTCCTCATTGTCTTCGCTATCACTACAAAGGTACCTCGGTAACAGATTCAAAATAATAAGTCATTTTCACACCTACTCCGAACCAACTTCGTACTTAATCTTAGACAGTAAAACGATCAATCAATTTACTTCACCCAGAACAAAATGCCATAGTCTGTGCTTCAAACTGGTGAAAAAATCAGAGAGATATCTTTTGTTGTTGGAGAGTAATAAAGGATTGAAAATGGGGAGTTACTTTCGGATCGCCCTGTATATACCTTACCCAAAGTCTCACCCACACTCAGAATGACAAAGACGAATTTCAACACATCATATACCAGTCGTTAGAGCATTAAGTTTTGATCAAAACAGCATAATAGATTCAATTCTAAACTATTTTCTTCAGCGACACGGAAAAGAGAAAATAAAATAAGAAAATTAAAAAACTGTTCCTATAGTCTTGTCCAGTACTGTAAATGTTTTTTTTACAGATGTTACCTCCGAAACTTACTGAGTCAAACAACTAATTGGGATATGTTGCAGAGCAAGTTTTGGTCTATCCAATCAGCTATACCAACAATCTATTTCATATCTAATATGATCGAATATTAATCAAATTGTCATTAGTTTTTGAGAAAAGTACGCGCTCTGTTTGCTAAGTAACACACGAGATACAGAAGCTCTACAATTCTTGAAAGTTGCATAGATTTTAGATGGAATCGTCTGACCGACTGGCGAGATCTGATGGATATACCCAAGAACTGTTAATTAATTGAGACAATTAAGTTTAAAAATTTTTCCTATCGTTTATCGCAGAAAAATAAATCTTAATCGAATTTCAAATTTGAACAAGCATCAGACGAAAACTAAGCAAGTGATATCTTGTGCAACTAAGAAATGAACTAGTTGCTCCTTGAATATGAAAACTTTCATAATGTCCCTATAGAGTCAATGTTGCATTTATGTTCATATAGGCAGTTTTGCAGAGTGACACTAGTTCTATTAAATGAGATAATATGGAGAAAATGACCAAACACAAAGACTAGCTCTAAGCATGCTTAGTGTTTGCTTCATAAATTTTCACAGGCAAGTTATAAAAGGCTAAAAATTTAGATTTAAAGTTTTTTTTTATGATGCTTTATCAGTTACAGCAAAATAAAAACACAAGATTAATATTCTTGAAAGTATGATCATTTTTAAGAATCTTTCACATTATAATGGACCGTCTCCTCTTTACTATAGCATTTTTCATATTCTATACTTGTGTAAGTTTGAAGCAGCTATTATAATTAGCAATGACGACTGAAAATAATAATATAACGCTATCTATAGAGATCATTTTTCTAGAGATACAAATGAAACGAAGAAAAAATATGAACAACTGCTCTCATTTACTTTTTCTATTATTACAATAACAATAAATCGAACTGAATGATCTCTCTTACAAAAAGAAAATCAATCGTGTATGAGAGAAATTTCGTCGATAAACAAATCAAGTTCTTCGTTTCTTCTTTTCTCGATCACCTTGTTTTACTTTATTCTCTCTACTAAAATTGAAAAGAATATTTCCTCATGGTGATCACGTTAATAATCGTGTGCTGTCATTTCTATATAAGACACACCCTTGAATCAATTCAATATTCAACATTCAAAAACCCGTAACAAACATTTACTTTCTATTGTGAATAAAACATCTAAAATGTCTTCGTCTGGTCATCACTCAAATTCGAGTCGTGATACAGCACAACCTTCAGGTTCTTCATCAATAGGAGGAGCTGGTACTACTGATCAATCAAGTAGTATAGGTGGATTAGCTGGTCATGGATATGGTGGATCAACTGATACTGGCACTTTAAACAAGGCTGGTCAAGGTGCAATGAACACTGGTAATAGTTTAAGTAAAATTAGGATTTTATTTTTATTCTAATAGTTCAATGTAACGTGGTAGCTCAAGAAAGAGAATATATTACTAGATGCTTTTCTGTCGAACATGATTTGATAGAAAAACATTAGACACCATTGAGTTTTTCAAATATTTGTCGGTCAAAAGCTATTTTCTTCATAGAACAGAATATTGTATAATCTGTTTTGTTTTATTTGTTGTAGATAATGACATAGGAGGATCATCTGACCAAGGTGGTAGTTCCGGTAGTAGTCATCAATGTCAATGAATATCATTGGCAAATATACACCTTTCAATGAACTCTCTTTTTTAATTTTTATTCCAGCAAACAATTATTGCTTTATTTTTTAGTTTTTTATTAAGTTTAATAAAAATGTTTATCAGTCTAAACTCTTTCTCTGGTATCAACATTAGGCAGAAGATAATACAAGATCTTTTTTTTCGACATTATCGTTCTGAACAAAGATAAACCAAATAATAATGTCTGAAACATTAAATAAGAGAATGTTTGGTAGCCGTTTTGTCTTAATATATACTTCTATTCTCATTGATAAAATTTTTTTAGTTAATTAATTTGTTTGAATTAGGCCCTAGAGATGCTTTCTGCGTTGACTTTATAAAGAGACATTCTCTTATTTATAGAACTGACATTAGTATGAGTATTGATGAGAATGCATACTAACAAAGCGTAATTGTAGGTTTTTTTTGTCTCACAGATCACTGTGCGAACATGTTTCTATGTGGAAAACTCATATAATTATATTATCTCGATTGATTAATCAAGATCTGATAGGCTTCTTTGCTTACATCCACTATTGTTTGTTTAATGTCGCTCGATGTCCATGTTTGTACGATCAATTGATTTACTGTAGATATTCAAATAGAACATGTTCATGTACTGTTTTAGCCTAAGATGATGAATGAATTTTCATCAATTAAGAAACTCTAAGAAGTAAATGCCGACATAAAAGGTTGAATGGATTCAGTAAAACAAAACTTAAGCTTTTTATATAGAGATAAATATTCAGCATTTGTAGACATATAGCAATGTAAAAACAACCTATGAGAATGTTTGAGTAACCAGAGAAACATATGAGCAAAAAATCGATTAAATTCTATGAGATATGCCAGAGATACCAGTAAAATATAGTGAAATATAGCAAACACCAGAAAATTATTTTTGAGAATGATAGATATTTTAAGATTTTTGTGAAAATACTCAAGTAAAATTAGAAAGACTAACACACCGAATGGTCGTCGAACACTTTCAGGTTCACTACAATCCAACAAAACTTAAATTGAATTATTCTGCACTGTGCAACCTACTTGAATGGTAATTTCCAGAAAAAAATATTAAAGGCAACAATAATTCTCTCTGCATTTATTCACTCTGTCTGCATATGATATCGTCAATAACTCAGCACGTCTTAATGTGAACTTCTTCCATCTATATAGATTCAATAACTGCTCAATATTGCAGGCGTACACATCACTAATTTCAACTAGATTCCGATCAAGTTGGGACATCTTGAATGTCTGAATTAGAAATAATCGTTAATATTATCATCTTGAAAAAGCAACGGCACAACTTCAATACAATTCAATCTTCACATAAAACAAACCAACGAGTTTTATCAAAGCAAATCTAGACAATGTATGGTTCTACTATATTTTTTTTGCTAGAAACAAGCATTTTAAAAAGCAAAGCAAATAGGTTAGTATTGCCGGATATGATTGAAGAATGGATACAACTCTTATCGAAAGATTAATTTCACAAGAAATAAAGCGATTGTAACTCTGAAGAGAAAATAAAATAGTTGTTTTGAGTTTAATATCTCTAGAATTTTTGCTATACTAAATTCATTGCAATATAGACTGGTTTGATGATGTTTTCTGTGTAAAGTAGCTGTTGCAAACCACATTCATTTTTTATCAATGGACTGGGGCAGAAGAGAGTAACACGATCCAATTATTCGATATTAATATTTTGATATTGCTTCAATCGATCGAATAGAATTGAATTAGAGATAAAAGTTTGTCACCAAACGATGTTCTAGACCATTGTGTACACTGCAAACAAAATGAGATGTGAAGAACTACTGATAACGATCATTATTTCTATTAGATTTTGCTCTTTTTTCCAATGAAAAAAAAATCGATTCTATTTGAAATCACTGTTTATCTATGGTGCACAATAATTGGTAAACAACGACACAAATAATGTTCATTCTATCCAGTACTATCAACAGAAATTCTCACATAATTCAATGTTCGCTAGAGACTATGGAGCTCAGATCCGAAGTCAACGAGCCATTGCCTTCGTTGGCATAAAAAAACAATGTGTCGGTGAAGCGTGGAATAATGGGTTGTTTGCGCAATCTTTGGTCAATAAAATTACCTAATGATGCTCTGCGTGTCGAATCTGCGTAACCTATGAAAAATAACCAACAAAACAAATCATTTTCCGACCCAATGAAAAACACAAAGCAAACCTTCATTGTCTCTGTTCAAATTTTCATTCAAGATTTCTTCATTTGATATTGTATAAACTGGTTTCTTGAGTATACTCAAATTGTACGATATGTTATCTTCTTCACCGGTAAGATCTCTATAACTAGAAGAAAGGCACATCTTTGTTTGCTATTTCTAATTTATATCTTACTTATCATCATCTGTAGCACTGTCAATATTCTCAAAAGATGCATGTCTTTGCAATTTTCGTGAAGCGCGACGTCGAACACACGTCAAATAAGTTATAGCGACAATAGTAGCCATCAAAAGTAGTACTAAAGCAATAATTAGCCATACATACCACGGTACAATGACTCCTCTGTCGTCTTTCGAAAGTCCTATGGTACAGGTATTAGTAATCGAACAATCACATAGACCTGATCGAGAATTATCCGAAGCAAGTATAGGACGATTCATGTCGAGATAAACACCATTTGATCGAACATTTCGAATACATCCACGAAATGAGTCAATATAAGATAATTTTGGATACAATGCATCAATCGGTGAATCTCTTCTTGGTAAACCACCAAGATACAATCGAACTAATGATCGATTATTATTATTAATTGAAGTGTTGTTCACCGTAATACCATGCTGTTCATCGTTGATCATCACCAATATAGTATCAGCAACATACTAATATGAAACATTGAAACTATAGTTAATACGAAATTGTACGGCAACAAAACAACTCACTTGATATTCGACGTGATACCATTTCGATGCATCAATGACTAGATTCGTATCAAATGATGGCTGATCGCGAAAGTGAAATCTTAATCGATTTGAATTGACTAATTCGATGGCCAACCAAAAATAGTCGTCAATCGGTGGAGTTTCTCGACCGTACAAGAGTAGAAGACCAACTGTCGGCGTATTTGGAACAACAAAATCAAAGGAAAAGCGTGCTGGTGCTAAATTCGAAAATGTTGTTCCATCAAACACAGTATAACTACTACCGGTGTTGAGAAATGTTCGACCGAGTACTGCACAATAGGTTCCGAGAGGTCTGAGCGATTGAACATCAGTACATGGACAAGATATAGCATCATTGAACGAAAAAATTGAGCAACCTGATGGAAGAGGCGTCTGTGGAGAAACTTTCCATGTACTATTTACACAATCGGGTGAATCGATGATATTGATGCCGACATGTGAAGTTAAATTTGTATCAATCAAAAGAGGAAATGGTTGAATTGAACGACTTGCACTGCAAATCGTACCTAGAAGATCAACAAAAGCTTTCAATGTCTTTCATCTAAGGTAGCAAACATCTCTACCTGATGGACAAACATAATTTCTACAAGGATTTGGCCCAGTGACGTTGACTGTGAGGCCAGAACGAGAAGCCAATTGAGGTAGATTGTTATTTACGGTGTTTTCAATTACTTCTCGAGTGGAAGATAAAACCGAAAAGATCACATCGGTTAAAGCTGTTCGTTTAGCTTCATCAAATGACAACGGAGGATAGATAGGATGTCGATATTGTGGTACACTTCGTATAGTCAATAGACGAATCGAATCGCTTGAAACAGTCAGAATTGATGCGAGTGCTTCACGTAATTGACCAAGTCGATTACCGAACGATAAATCAACCAAAGTTTCTGGCGTTTCACCTTGAATACGAATAGTAGCTGCTTCTCGAATCGATTCGATATCGATTTTGGTAACTTCCATATTGATCGAACTGCTTGCTGTGGATTGACTCGAAGTGAGATTTTTCGTAACTTGAATCACGATTGTATATGTGCCAGTGGACAGTGACGAAGGTGTACGAAGAAAACCTTCATTGATCTGAAATATTTGATTTTTATTAACACTTGTTACGGAATAGATATTGTTAGCCAGAAACCAATCATCCGTATTGACCACGTAAATCGAACCGAGATCGACGTTCTGCAAGGAATTTTCATAACCTTCTGCATAAATAATATTGATCGTTTTCAAGCCATTCGAAATCGGATCATTACCAGCCTTATCTCCAACAATGATAGATATTGATGTATTCGTTGAGAAACCTTGCGCATCTTGGCTCATAATTTTCACAGTTAAATTTTTTGCTTCTATTCGATTAAATGCACCATTAGTATATCGAAGAACGAATGTATCATTATTACTAAGTGTTGGAGATATTTCAAATGTTGATGGTTCGAGTACTCGAACAGAGAAAGGAACGGTATTATTCAATGATTCATCATCAAAATCTCGAAAGACTATTGAAATACTTGCATTTTGAACTCCTTCATTCATAATCCATGGTGAGCTCTAAGATGAAACAAAATAAAATGTATTTGAGAATTATTGAAGCTGGAAATAATTACCGATGCAATTGGAATCGGTCCGTTATTGTTAATGTCAGCGACATTAATCGTCACAGGTGCGTAACTCGATACACCAGTTCCATTTTGATCGGTCACACCAAGAGCAAAACTATATGTCGATCTACCGAATGGTGCATCACGAATGAGGCCTGGTGGTGCAATACCCATTGTTGCTTGATTATTCGATTCATTAAGAAATACAGTTTGAAGAATTTGTTGATCGTTCGAAACAACACTATACTTGAGTGAAAGTATCGATGGATTCGAATCAACGGCGATTATCTTTAAAAAAATCAAAGAAATCAGCAATTCGTTTAAATAGAAAAAACAAAAGAGACCTGATCGGCATTTAATCTTGCTATAGGTGTATTTTCTTTAACTTGATATACATTGGGTTGAAAAAGAAAATATGGAGCATTAGCATTGTTGGATAATACATTAACAATAACATTGAACGTAGCTAAATTATTTGTATCGAACGCAAATAGAACAAGAATGTATGTTTGTTGATCAACATAGTCCAATGGACCAACGACAACCAATTGTACTATTGCTTGATATTCTGTACGTGATGTATTATCTCCATTGTCGGAGATCATGATGAATGTAAAGACATTTTTGCTATTACCACTCAATATACCAAAATTCAAAATGGAATAGGGATTGCTATCGGTGACTGTAATATTGTAAATGCTTGTACCGCTAGTTGTGGATTCATCGATCGATATAGTGGCAGTAGTTTGATTAAAGACTAAACAAATTTACAATCGATTGGCACAGTTAGTGACATTAATATTAAACACTGTTAAACCATGTTGTTGACTTGTCATTGAAAGAAAACTTTTCAGAACAAACCGTGAAAGGACGAAAAGCAAAACATCAAACGTCATTAAAAAAAATGTATTTGCAACATATTTATATCTCAAGTATGTTAGTTCACATAAATTAAATTTTTATCGAAAATATACCGAAATATAGCGCATCAAACACATGATATCAAATAGACTTATTGTTCGAAATATGTCGAATGTTAGATGCTTACTTGAAAATTACAAAAATTATTCTTAAACGTATTTTTTCCATTCGTTTACACGATTAACATAAGTAATAAAAATAGAAAATGATATTCTTAAATAGTGAAGTTACAAGAACGTTTCTTTTAAGTGACATTTGGTTTTTCGTATTTCTTCCTTTCGAGATTCGTCTTAAAAAACAACATGTTCAATACATAATTTGTAATTCAGATATTGTTTCTTATAATAAAAATATTTTTCTTGAACTAGAAATCAACAATATGACTTAACATTACTGAATATTGGTGCCATCGCTTTTGTATTAGATATTAGTTTCGATATTTACCTGGTGGTAGGTTATTATTATCGACAATGTTGATATCCAACTGTAGATCTTCCGTATTACTCGTTGTTGTACTCCAAGCTGGAGCACCATCAAAAGCGGTGATAATGATGTGATAAATTGATCGATTCTGTCGATCAAAAGTTGCATTTGTCACAATGGTACCATCGGCGGAAAGGAAAAATCGATTACGAGTGATCTCATCTGTTAGTTGATTGTTAATTCGATATTGAACGCGATTATTCGGCGAAGTCAAATCACGATCGAGAGCAAGAAATTGTCCGATGAATTGTGTACCAGCTCGAGTTGCAAGAATATTAAGTTCTAATGACCGGACACTGAATTGAGGTATTTCATCATTTTCATCACTTAAATTAATAGTTGCCAAACCGAGCAGAGGTGGATTACTGATAACACGAAGAGCCAATAGATAGGTTGCCTGAGTTTCAGCATCTAGACCGCTAAAAAAAAAGAATGGAACGAAATGACTATTAATCAGACAAAGAAAAGAACTGACCTCGTAACCGAAATGCCACTGGCGAAGACAGCATTATTTACGGTTGTTGTAATCTCTCGGAATGGTAGAGTAGTAGTGGGCGATGTATTGGAAACATAAAACAAATAAGCAGTTTGACTGTTCGATCGATATAAAATCGAACCATTAAAACCATTTTGACTATCTGATATGAGTTTTGTTGAAGAATTTTCGAAATATTTTTCACTTATTATTAAATTAAGTTCTCCATTGCTCGGATTGAGCCATTGAACGGAGGGTATTGTATTGTTTGCAGCCAAATAGATTTCAACGGTGGCATTTGGTGAACTAGTTCGAGGTGGAGATCCACGATCTTGGGCGAACACAGTGAAACGAATAGGAAACAAACTACGATCTACATTGAAAAATGTCACACGCGAATCAAATCGAATGATGCCCGTGCTACTTTCAATTACGAAATATCCTTGAGTTGAACCAACAATATAATAATTGATCATTCCACTAGTACCAGCATCGAGATCATAAGCGACAAGATGCAGCACTGTGGAATTTGTCGTTGAATAGATAGTCTGATTCCATATTGTTGAAGTAAAAACTAAAATCAATTTTGAATAAAATGTCATTCAATTTTGTGACAATAATCTACCTGGTGCATATTCATTGGCTTCAATCAAATTAATGCGTAATGTACAAAGAGCTAGAAAAGGGAATATGATCAATGAAATTCACTAAGAAAAATACTGTATTACATTGTAACGAAGGTGTACCCTGATCACTGGCCACTATGAACAAATACCAGACACGTGTAGCTCCTAGAAGATGATTCGAGATCAATTAAACGAAAATTCGAAAAAACTCACCAAGTTGATCGTAATCGAATGTTTCGTTCGTCCGCAATTGAACCACACGACTCGCATTAGTTTGATTGAATTGATACAACTGAAATTTGGAATAGAAAGTTGATCTCGATTGAACACCGTTTATGTCCATAAGGAGTCGTGTTTGCCGTTGTTCTGATGGAAATGAGAAACTTATTTGACCACTGTTGCCTTGATCACTATCGACGGCTGTCAACGTAGTAATGTTCGTGCCTGGTGGAGAATCTTCTCGTAGAGAAAAATTTAAATTACAAGGTTGATCTGAAAATCTTGGTGGTTGTTTATTAGCTGTGATAACAATGATGATAATCGTTATCGAATTGCTACGTGCGGCACAACTTGGACACGGTAATGAACAGTCCAATGACGGCACATCAGTTGCAGTAACCGTAAGAGAAATAGGTGAGGATGGTATCGTTCCAAAAGCTTGATTTAAGCTTAGTACTCCTGTGAATCGATCAATAGTGAATTGTGTCGATGCTGGTGTTAGAGAAAATGTAATCGAATCTTTATCCGCATCTGTCGCAAAAACTGTTCCAAATGCTACTCCTACAGATAGTGCTTCACTGATGGAATATGTTTGACTCGGATAAATAAATATCGGAGCATTAGCATTACAATAGTCCAAATCGATTTGTGCAATAGCTGTTGATGATACTGATGGACGACCGGGCAACAATTGGGTAGCCGTGATGGTGAATAAATATCGATGATAGGGTGAAAAATAGTTCAATGGGCTAGAAAATAAATTTAGAAGAAAAAAAAAAGAAAAGATCTATAAGTTGTTTATGAACGACTTTTTAAAAGGCAAATTCTACATAGAATATAAAATTCATTTCACCTGATATTAGTTGCAACTCGATAAGAAAAATTCGATAATTTTTCAATAAGAAATGCTGAATCGGTCCACGTCACACGAATATCAGCGACAATATTCAGAGCTCGAGCGAGTGATATATAACCGGGTATTGTATTTTGTGTTTGAGGTTGGAGAGAAAATGTAAATAAAGTAGTATTGATTGGTGATACAATCGAAAAATTTGATGTAGTCACTGTATAGACGGGTTGATCGAACATAGGCCCATTGAAATCGGTATAATACTAAGTAAAAGAAATTCGAATGAAATCAATCGATTATAAAAACATAAAAACATACGAATAAGTCAGCAATATTTCCTTGTCCTACTTGACTTGACACTATTATCAGATTGATAATGATTAGTAAAGATGTTCGATAGAAGACATTCATCAGCAATGACATGTTGATTAATATCAATTGTTGTCTACATTATCCGTGTATATTTTTCTTTGTCTATTTGAAAATATTAACTAAACAAAAAATAATGTAGCAAAAAGAGAGTTCAAATGACAGTATCTCTATCCTTTTTTTTCTATGTCTACACTCAAAAAGAAACTTCATAAAACCCTGCATAATCGATCTTACATTAGGTTTGTTACTCATAATGCTTGAATGATGTCGACAAATATACGAATGATTAATTTCGAGTCGCTAAACATTCACCTCACGTAGATTCGAATAATCGTACCCGATCAATCGATATGGTTTAACGTCGTTCGATTTTTCTTTTCTACAGTTTACCTAATTACGCTCAAGGCTGTACGACTGTAAGTCAAAGATTAGGCTTCGCTATAATGTCAATAAAAAACGTCGCATGTTTTACTGACAACCGATGAATTTAAGCCTGATTCTTCATGTCACATTATGAATCAGTATAGTCATTGAGAATTCATTCTGTCTGCTTCGTAAAACATGAGAAAAATGAAAACAAAACAAGAAAGAACTAATGAATTTTTCTGTTCTCTGTCTGTGTTCGTTGTGCATGAAGGTCACCTGAAGTAAGTTACTTAGTGATTATTTCTTACATTGACTTAGTGTTATTAATAATTAACAATAATTTAATTATGTCTAATCAACTTTTTTCTGACGACGTAATTCGAGTGATAATTCTTCTAATTGATCTGTAAACTTCAATGAAATTTATCACAGCTCGTATTATGGATGATTGAGAATAAAATCATAACTGCTTCAATCATGCAAAGTTACTAATAGAAGAATTTAAAAAAATAGTAGAAGCATTTACACGTTTGAAAGTTGTCGACGTTCAACGCACGCATTGACAAAAGAAAAAGTGTACGAGATATGAAAACATGCTGACAAAAATCGACTATATTTTTCTCATTCTGTCTCAACGGTCTATAGCTTTTTCTTTCTTTCTTTCTTTCTGTTTTTTTTTCTCATCAAGCTGTGTATTGACTTAGTTGAAGGCTAACCAAACAATTATTCTCATAATAAATATAAAGCGAAATTCATATCTTAATACTGAAGAATAATCAACGTTTCTTCAAACAGTTCCATGAAGAAATTCGTAAAAAAACAATAGACAAAAATATAAATATATACAAGAAAATATGATCAGTCGATTCGATGACTACGTCTAAATCCATTCAAACTTCCAAAGCTCATAGAACTTTTTGTGCTAATCATTTTATTAATACACTTTAGAGCACGACTGTAGTTTAGCAAAGATAAAAGTCAAATACTATTAATGTACTTTCATTACTCTGTAATAAATAAAAGCTGTATGTTTATCGAAAAAACGACGAAAATTCATTCTTTTCTCCACTTGAATTAATTACATATTCAGATTATTCGTCAAGAACTGCGTTATAATCCATAGGAATTTAAATAATCTTTGTACATTTGTATAGGATCTAGTACTTCACTATGTCATGTAATAGAGAAAGAAAGTGTACGAAAAGCTCATATCATTAAAATCGCTATTATTCAAATATATAGGGTGACCCTTTAATAATATTACGGCAAAGAAAAATGAAACGTCTCTCTATCAGTTCAATCAAATGGACTGATTTTCAATTTAGTCCCGAACGTTCATTCAAAGCTTTTTTGTGAGGATAAGGTAAGCAAATACGTTTTCAAAACTGAGCAGGTTACATGCTGAAACTCGTGCCCCATATATAAAACACCAACTTACTTGCAAATAACAGTGTTTCATGTTTTAAAATTCGAAACTTTGTAACCATTGACTTGTAAATTAATTAGTTTTAAAAACTTGCTCTATGTGCATTAATACAGAAAGATGATAACTCAAAATTATCTATGAAACGCTACACATTTATTTTTTATTTAATTGATAAACAGGTAAAATTGCTTTCATGATATCAACAATAATACTAAACAGTAATATTTGCTTACCTTATCCACATGGAGAAAAAAACTTGAAGTGAACTTCTGCCACTAACCAAAACATCAACTTATTTGATTAAACCGATGTGACAATGTTTCATTTTTTTTATCATAGTATTTGGATCTACCACTATGGCTACGTCTTGACATGTGAACCATCGTCGTTTATCATCGTGCTCATATATATGTTTCTCGTAGATGAAGAGAGGAATGATTTGTTTTTCCTGATCCGCAGTAAATACTACAAAAAAGTTTTTCTTTTTAAATAAAATAATGCTTACTGTTGAAATGTGTTGGAAAGTCACTAATTTTTTCAAGTATCGCAATTAATCCGTCAAAACTAATGCGATTCTGATGACGTGAGAAGTCAATTAGATAATCAAAACAAACCAGAACAGTGGCCTTACCCATTTTGATAGAGCAACATGTGCTCCATAACAAGCACTAACTAGTTTTTCTCTACCTTTGATTTTGGCAGGGACGACTGTCAAAATTATTTTATATCACAATTTTTCAAGGAGCTTTGATGCATATACGTACCCATGGAGTCTAATAAGCCAGTTCTCGTTGGTGTGCAGCGGATTAGTTATTATTTTTAGCTGTTTTCACACTATGAATATATCTTTTTAATCCATCATGGCGACGACGATCATTAACGGGTATCTGGTAAATAAACTGTTTGTAGCTGAGGACACAAATATTGATCAGAAGTACCAATTTTGATAGTTTTTGTTATCGATGGTGATCTGTTGCTAATCACAAGTTGGCATTGATCATCTATTCCTACTCGGTGTCAAATCAAACTACTACTTTCACGGAAAAGTCCTGTTGAAAATTTGAGAATCAGATGGATGAGCAAATAAGCAATTTGCTTCATAAATCCTTATCTTGTAATTGAGTGGTAAGCAAATACAAATATTGTTATTTGATCTTCATACTTGGATTTTTACAACATGTCTTATAAGATGATAAATGACTGTTTGCCTGAAGGATTTCTTGCATCAATCTGTCTTTCTTATCATTGTTGACACATAAGTTGCATCATTTTTCAGAATAAATGTCGCACGTAGATTTATTGAAATAGTCATTTAACAGACTTTCAAGGATGGAAGTCTATGACAATACTTCGTGCTACCTCGGCATATTTCTTTACTTGCTCCAATCTGGCCTGTCCAAGATCATCATACTTCTCTTTTTTTATTGGCAACCTACATACTGAGAGTGAGTAGGATGGGCAGGATTTTTACGACAGTAACGACGATAATCTATGCAAAAGGGCAACTGAAGATGCCAATCAAAAGAACTTCTTCAGTACATGCTGTAAATTAGTGAACATCGACAACTATACATCGTGAAAGAAAAATCTTTGAATTTTTTATTGTGCAGTTCTTGAAATTGTATTTCCACACAAAGCTCTTATATAATGTCTATCTATTGTCATCCTAGCATCAGCAACATTATTCGTCGTAGATATGAATTACATCTTCATCCCGTACAGCATAGTACAATTTGACAACATTGAAATTCCGTGTTACTGTGACCAGGAAAATTTTCGATCTGCTTTTATCCTCATCATCATTAGCTGTATCATGCGCTTACCATACACAGTTATGCTACTTGTCGTGCTCGGATGATTGTGTTGTGTCACCTACGAACAGATTGATTGATGATAATTGCAATTAATTGACATCTTTAGGAGATACTTAATTCTGAAATTGTTCACATAGTGAAATAAGATTTGTCGAGCATGTGAAAATGGTACTATTTTACTAACACTGTTGATTAAGAAGTGTAATAGTTACTATTTGATTAATTCGTTGTAATTTTTAACCGCTAAATAAATCTGAAAAAAGAAATGCGTTGCGGGAGGTTGTAACACAAAATTAGCGAATACCGTACAGATCGTAGGTAAAACAAATATTATATATGGCTATGCAACCGGTAATCAAGCAGACACTCTGTATCTCTTAATGTGTGAATGTGAATGAGTGCATACGGTGAGAGAAAGTACACACACAACTACCAACTCTTCCAACTCGCAGATACTCACACACACACACACACTCTACTCCTCCTAAGAATCGATTGATGAATGCAAATATTATTCAAACTAACGAACAAGTAAAAATTTTCTTATCACTTTCATCTTGTTATAGATTGATTGTAAGTATTTAGGTTTTGTTTGATAGGAAAATGTTACATTCGCTGGGTAACTAGAGTCTGGAGACTATATTTGGGTTTCATGATTGGCTTTGAGTAACGCAAAATGTTGTCCAATACAATTCCGTTGATCGGCTGAAATGGTAAATAGCAGTTTGGATGCGATAATTTTGGTTTGGGACCGGTGATCGGATCTCGTAATCATCGAGTATAATCAAATTCAAATGGTCGAAGCCAGAAACCAGCTTGTCGTTGTAGTGCATGCGGTACGATCCGAATGGTCATATTGATCGGAACCAGCACTTGACGGCGATTTTCACTTCCGATGACGTTTTTATGTTTGCATTCTCGCAGTAATAGAGGGATCGATAGATAGAGGCGAAGTGTTTCTTGCAAGATGGCTTCTCACATCTTCAATTTATTGATATCTACATAGGTTGATAACTTATCTTTCAGTATAATTTTATCTTCGATTTCTTCATCTGTAAATGATCGTCCTTTGTTATCGACGGCAAAAAAAAAAGGTAGATCGAGTAAATCCGTATTTGAACATAGACTCGATGGTCGATCTTGTCGTCGCTCAGCAATGGTTTTGTCAACGAAACAAACTACTTTTCGAATACCTTCATCAATAACCGCTTTGCGCCAAAATGATAATCGAGATAGAACAGGAATCTAAACGATCATGTTCATCAAATGATATTATATGGCTTTGGGATCATCGATTTGAGATTGCGCAAATAAAATATTGGATTGAGCAGTTTTCGAGCTCGCTCATGTTCGAGACCATCGCTTACCAGAAGATTATGTGAGCCGATCAATAACTTAAAAACATGAACAAATACCGCAGATTTACCATAATATTACGCGTGTGATTGGCCGAGAATATCTTCAACCATGTCGGATTCATTGATGATGAGACGCACCAGGACATCTAACGTAAATGTATAACATTGTCCAAGTTTTTGTATTAGTCCATCCAAATAGTCCATAGTACCGTCATGTTATCCTATTATTACATGGGAAAAAGTGAATTGTTTTTCGAACGATTGACGTATTCTTATGTTTTCTGAACTGAGACAATGCAAATTGGTCATGAATTCTTCAAAAGGAACATGACAACAATATGATGATCTGATTCAAACTTACAACAAAGACGTAAAATATGTGATCAACTATCATTTAGATCGACGAATGTGGATAGAAGTGCGGAAGATTACAATACCGATACTTACTCTTGATGAGCATTCATCAAATTAAAAAAAATATTTTGTTGACATTAAAGAAAGAAAAAATGCGAAATACTATCGATTCAAAATGAGTCTGTAGACACATATGTTAGAAGTCAGGTTTCGTTTAATGGCGTGAAGATTTCATGAAGTGATAATGTCTTCAGTCGATGACTATTGTACTATTAAGTGCTGTGATGATCTATTTCAAAACCTGATGATTACGATCTTGAGTGGTATAGAGTGCATTCGAAGAGTGGAATGTCAGACTGTAACGAATGATGAACGAAGGAACAGCAATCTCACGTACACTAATCTAGTTACAGCTAGCGGTTGTGAATACGAACGAAAATTGGGTTTACATGATTAACTGTCAGAACAGAATCGATGGTTTTCTTTTCAAACTGATGAATCATCACACGGCTCTGACTCACTGAGCCATGACATAATGATGTGGCGTGGCAATATACGTCTTCAATAAATACGCTTGATCTTTTTGTATTTTCTAAGCTACATTGAAGACTAATTTTTAACTGCCGTTTACTTTTGTCAAGTAAGTATCTAAATTGCATGACACAGTATTTCTAATAAGATTTTGATATATACTATATAAAAAATTCCCTTCTGTCGTCATCCGTCTGACCGATCGTTGCCATGATGCTGTTTTGATTCCATCATGAACCATGATTGAGTTCTTGTTGACATAAAGATTTAAAAAAGTGAACTTTTCTTCGTTTGAAAGAGGCTTTCAAACATGAGAACTTTGATATTTAGGCCGATTTTTCAAGAATTTTTCCACTTTGAATGAAAATCAAAGCGGAAATCCAAAAAAAATCTCCCGTTTGCTATCCATGTTTTGCAAAAATAAACAGACTTGATCATATTTCAAAGGTAAATTCCATAAACATTTCATTTCGTTTAAAATTACTTTGATTTTCATTGATTAATTATCTTTAAGATTGCGAATCATGTTCTCAACAACAGAAGAAGATCATCTTTCATTGAGAGATATTATTATGCCATATGTTTATATTCGTTCATTACTTGTCTACGATTATCATATTGATGATTTAGAACAACCATTCAACGAGTATCTTCATCGATTCTGTCCACAGGCATTTAAACGTATTGTCGATAATGATTGTTATCGAATTGGTGGATGCATAGTTGATTGTGAGAATGGACAAGAACGAAAAGTATTCTCGAGTGAATCGAGATCTAACGAAAGCGTAGCCAAATATTTTGGCAATGATACACTCGATGAAGATATATTTCCGTATGGTATAATACCAACAGATTTATCACCATTGATTTTCATGCATCAAATCCATCTGCAGGATGGAACTTTATTAGCAATAGGTTGTCATCACTATCTATCAGATGGTCACGGATTGAGTACATTAGGACAACAATTTTCAAGATGGCTTCATGAGAAAAAATCGTTATTGTTTGATCATGATTGATCGAAACTTCAACATCTCGCTAGTTTATCTTCAATTCAATTCGATCATTCAGAAATGAGTCTTATCGAACCTATTGGTTATTCTTTATTCAATCTATCACCGTTGGATACAATTGTCAAACGTTATACGAAAAACTATTTATTTGATCGATTGAATATAAAAAATAAGAATGAGATTGTTTCAATGAATGATGTTCTTATGGCATGGTTAACTCAAATAATAAGTCGAATTCGTCATGTTTCTCGTCAATCGACGATCAAAATTGGTATGGCCATGAATGGTCGAACTCGCCTGCCGGGTATTGATACGAACTATTTTGGTAATTGTAGTTTTTATTTGTGTCGCCCTTTTTCAATGTCTGATCTCGATGACCTTACTGTTGACGAACTAGCTCAACGGATCAATGTTGAAAAACGAAAGTTTATGACAACAGAATATATTCAGTCGGCATTGGCTTTCATTAATCAACATTATCGTTCGTCAGTGATTCATTTAGGTTGGCAAGCAACCGGAGGTAATGATCTGTCATTTAGCAATTGGACACAATTTCCTCTTTATAAATGTGATTTTGGTCAAGGTGGAGCGAAACATTTCAAATTATCTTCGATTCAATCCGATGGTCTTATTCTTATTTTACCAACAATGAACAACAACGAAATTGAACTCTATATTACATTACAAACTGAGCATGCGCAAGTACTTCTTGGCAAACTTGTTTGATAAAAAAACAGAAAAAATTTCTTGTGTTAAGTGTAGAATTCAAGAAGTTTGTCTCAGAAAGATCTATTTTTTCGCTCTGTGCAATATCACATGAACTTCAAAATATGACATTATTTATGTTGAGTTCTGCAAAAGTGTGCAATAAATTGAACAACTTCTTATAATATTCATATAATACTAATCTTATGTTCAGCATAGACATGCATTTAAGCTAGCAGATGGAGTGCAGAAATTAATGTGTCATGTGGATCATGAAATCATAAAGATTTCTAACAGAATCTTTTTATAATTGTTTCATAAATGAACTACAATTAAATTGCCTTATATGTTGGCTAAAATTCATTTTCCCGAAAAAAATACTCTAAGATCCGACGATATTTTTCTATCTATTTATTTATTCGGTCTAATAAATGAAACTGAAGAATTGCAACAACGATTGCTTTTCGAATAGAAGGATAAGACACGAACATTTCCATGGAGCAAACATCTCGCTTTAGATTAATTAGAATAAACTTTTTTGCTAAAGAAGGCTTTGCTTTGAGCATTACAACACGTAATAAGATCTGTATCTATTACATACACATTGTTGCAGTCCATACAATTAAGCTAATGGAAATGTCTTTTTAATCAACGAAATTGAAATACATCAATTTTAATAGCTGTTTCATCATATTAATGCATTGTTTTTTGTTATTTCTCAAGTGTCTGAACAGAACATAAAGTAGAAGAAACGAGGAAAATAAGGAATGGCTCAAGCGCCGTAACTAAAAACTGTGCTCGGCACAATTATGAACTAGATATGCGATGCAAACAATATTGAAATCAAATGATGAAACAAGAGTCACATAGATAAAAACGACAGAGATCTTAGTTTCTTTCGAAAAAGTACTCTGACTAGAATTACGGGCAAAGTTTTATTTTTACTGACGAGCTTATGTCATTTAGAATTCCTTCACGATTCTGACAATGTTTGGAATTGGCGTGTGGAACTCGATGAGCGATATAGAATACTGTCAAGTTTGGGCTTGTACAAAATAACTGTACCGATGTAAAATGGGTAAAATTAGTGAATCATGCTGGTTATGCAATCCACAATGAAATTGTTGAAATGCTAGTGATGAAGACGGTTTCCTTTAAAATGAAACCTGGCCAAATTGCAATAGTAATCTCATTTGTCTAGAGAAGCGTAGATTTATTTATCGATCTTTGTACAAAAAGAATGTGTTTTTTTTCCAGATATACGTGATAAGTTTTACTGATCTCTGTACGACAAGAGCGCATTCTTACCTATTTGTGACAGTGACCGAGTGTTTTTTCAAGAATGGATTCACTATAAAAAAATTCAACATAACAGACTATGACAAAAAAAAATTATTATAAATATGTGACATTGAAGAATTTCGGTTGAATTTCATTTGTGTCTATGACTGGAGTAATGTTACTTTAGAGTGATTTCGTTGTGTTTCTTTTATTATAATCAAATAATCCGGTGTTTTAAAAAAATGATAAAAGCACACGAGCTAATCATACGTTGTTTTTTTCACGTCTAGGAAAAGATAAATATAAACATTTTTCGTTGGGCAAAGAAAAGAAACAGAATACCGTTGCATCGATCTTGTAATTCAAAGTCTCAGCTGACGACGAGACATAGCACAGCAAGTCGTCATTAATTAATGAATTCTTTGGAATGTCGAAACTATGAGTAACACTGGTATTTTTTGTACATGCTGTTCTTTAGCAATTTCTATATCTACTATTACAGTTTGCCTCAATAGAACTTTCCTCCTCTGTTAGTCTTACTTAAGACGATTACAGTTTGCTTTTTTGCCAATAATCAGTATATAGCAAGACAGTACAGACTTCACTGTTATGCTTGATATATCAAGCATAAATAACAAATAAAGCTCAGAGGAAAATAAATAAATAACAATAACTGAACTTAGATGTCGTAATGCACACAAAAATAATGGAAAAACAAAAATTCGATTTTCATTTATTGTGCATTATAGTAAAAACAAGTTATCTTGTTTTTTTGACGTACTTCTTTTTTGTTCTCTGAACTTTATTAGTTATTTATGAATAATATGTCATGAAATTTCGGTGAAGTATGTACTTTCTTGCTATACATTGATTATCAAGAAAAAAAACGAAACTGTAATCATCTTAAGCAAGAATAACAGAGGAGAAAAATTCAATTGAGCCGTGGATGCGATTCAAGAGGAAATACTCCCACTCATACTCAACCACACCCACACCCACACCCCAACTTACACTCACTATTTTCGTAGTAAGTTCTACAAAAGTTCATTGTCTAGTCTATGAGCTTCGAATCCGAGTTTGACACGATTTTTAACTTAACCAGAAATAGAAAAGAGGTCAATCAATACATCGATACAGAAACGATCAAAATTTTATTGCAACAAATCAAGAGGAAGTACTTAGCCTTGTATTCGTCGGGAGACCCTTTTTATTCGACTATGACTATTATTACAGAAATTTATCTGTTATTTCGAAATAAAGCTGTCATTATTTTTATTCTTAAATCAACTATCATCAACAAACAGCAATAAATAATTTAATATTGTTGTCTGTTTTGGTCCAAAAAACTTCCTATTGGTAGATAAAAAGAAAATTGTAGAATCAAGAAAGATAAGACTTCGAAGAAATTCTTTTTCTTAGGTTATAATTTTAAATGTCTCCATCATTCTATTCGTTAAGATTGCAAGAATCAATTTAGGAATGAATCTCCTTATTTTTCAGCATTGAAAAATATTCAATTGGGCTGAGTGACAAAAAGAGATCAGTTCGGGCGAAAAGATATTGGAATTCAGCATTGTCTTGTTGAAGGAACTTATACTAACTAATAGAATACGATTCAATGATTTTGAACAAGATTGGTTAGTTTCAAATACGTAGATATTTTCTCAGCTCGTAACAGATGAAACCCATTCTAGAGAGAAAAAGTCATCTGTTAGACGACAAACCCATTAGAAAGAAATATTCAATAATTCCTCATTGCTCACGTTTGTTGTAAAATATCACGACATTTGCTCGGTTTGATGACCGATCTTGTGGCCCTTCGAATTGTAATGAGCTTCATCAAAATGATAAGTAGAAGGTTTCTTGGATCAATCAAAAGAGAATTCGAGAACATTCGACTATTCGATTCAATGAATACAACTTATATGCCAATAATATTCGATAAGAAACTTATTAATGAAATTCGAAGTTTGCTATTTTCGCTAAGAATATGAGCATCAAATAATCTAATGGTCAACCAATAATTAGATAGATATGACACAAAAAAGGATAGTGATTTTTCTTTTTCTCAATCTAAAAATTTTTATCGTTAACCTTTCAAGTTTGTTAAGATATTTTGAAAGTCAAGAACAAGTAACTTATGGGAAATATGATTATCATCTAACGAAAGATTCTTTTTTCAAATAAAGAACCGACCATTTACTAATATGTTCGAAGCATTTTTTCTTGTCTTGAACATAATGAGAACGAATCGACTTTCATTTGTAGTTGTCTTCAGGAGGGATGTGCCGAAAGAAAAAAAGTGGCGGGGAGGGGGGGGGGGGGAAGCAGCGGGCTTCTAGTATATACAAGTTAATGTCGTATTCACTTACAAGAAACAACTGTTTACATTTCCCAGTTTTTCATTAATCAAATCGTTTCTTACACTCTAATGAGATCTATTCGAAAGAAAAGAAAAGCGTATCGAAATCATTATGGTTGATCCAATAACAATGTCGTTGTCCACAGAAAATTGAATGAAATCTAGTTCTATTCAAACGTATTTTAGTATCCTTTCGTAATATTTTATGCATAACTTCAGATTCATAGTCAATGCTACTAGTTAAAATAGATCTTTTCATTAGTATTTTTCACTGATCAATAAGCAAAATACGAGTTTTGATAAGATCGGATAAAAATTCTGTTGATAGACTCAATAAATAGACGCAGAGTTCGTTTCAATAAATCAACGTGAAATGTTACATGAGATTCGTTGTTGTTTTTCAAGCAATATCTGATAAGAATGACAAATGTTTTTATGTTTTTCGATGAAAAATTTTATCGATTTTGTGTTCGAAAACAAAGAAATTTACGACATAATGCATCTGGTGTTTTTCTTTTTATCTTGAATGTCATGAAATAGATAATTTATATTGAATTTCTGCCGGATATAAATATTCAGTTCAAATCAACGAGCGAACTAAATTCCACGAATAAATAAAACGATCATTATGATAAGCATTGTTTCTTTTCTGGTTCTTGGTTTTATTGTAATCGCTCAAACTGCAGTGATTGATTTAAAAGCAAAAGATGTTAGTATTGAAATGATAATTCCTCGAGGTTAAACTCGAAGTGAATATCTTCAATCGATAATCGACTACTGGACTCCAGAGCGAATGGCTTCAGCAAAATCAATGGAAACGGCATCGATTGATGAATCGAGTCTCTCAAAACTGGTCAATCATCGTAAACCAGATAAAGCCGAAAGAATCTTGGTTTCCAGTGATTTTCTACGAACCACTCGATCAAACCTTCCGGCAACATCAGGAAAAGTTTATTTTGTAATGAATGGAAAAAATTATTTGTGTTCGGGTTCCGTCGTCAATGCCGGAAATCGTGATATGGTTGTGACGGCTGGTCATTGTGTCTTCGATTATGAACAACAAATGTGGGCATCTAATTGGATCTTTGTACCTGAATATTCGAGCAATTATCGTCCACATGGAACATTTATTTGGCGTCAGATGGCAACGAAACAAGGTTGGACGAACAATCAAGATTACAACTTTGACGTGGGAATCGTCTTAATGAACCCAAATGAAAATGGTCAACATATTCAAGATTTAAGGGCGGTCTGGGTATCACTATAAATCCATCAAGACAAGCAGCAACGAATGCTTTTGGTTATCCGAAAAATATTAAAAATGGCAAAACAATGAGCACTTGTGCTGGAACATCGTTAAGTCCAACTTTCCTATCTGATTTTACAGGTCTACAATTAGTTTGTGATATGAACGGGTGGAGCATCTGGAGGTCCACGGGTTCAAGATTTTGGTTCAAATACACTTTCTGGTCAACAAATATCGGTCAACAGTTTCATTGTCCTAAGTCAACCAAATAGTATCTTTGATCCCTATTTTAATCAGGACAATATTGGTTCACTTTATCAAGCATATCAAAATCAATAAAAATTCTTTTCTTTTATCGATTCAGAATATCTGAATAAAATTTCTTCGAAGTCTCATTTTCTTGAACATTCTTTGAGACTATTGAATGATCATCTCAAATAGTTGCAATTCAATATTGAATTCTGTCTTGTGATTGAGATTCAATCAGAGAAAATCTTTTTTTTTTTAAATCAATTCTGACGAGCAAATGACAAAATGTGAGTTGAACCTAGTTTGATCTGATACATCGAGCACGGCTCGATATTTTCTCACAGTTTTAATCGATTCTCATCCGAGTAATAGCGATAAAAAAAGCTTCTTTCTTTGATAATCGGATCAATTTTATATGTTTGATCACTATTCAAATCGATTCAAAAAGGTTTTCTTTGACCATTTTATTTACTTAAATCAATTATCTTCTCCTGAGTTTGATAGATTCATCGAAGGAATGACTTGAAATGTTTTGTCTCTAACAAACAAAATCAATTAAAGGAATGCGAGATTCTATTAGTCTAAAAATGAACTTCCTTGAGAAAAATGCCGTTCAGACAAATTCTTACGTTGACCAACGAATTCTAATCCGAATGTAGTCGCGCAATAAGTCGTTCATAGCCGAATCAATTAATATTTATCAATGTGTCACATGATTGATGATAACAGGAATCAAGAAAAAGACCAGAAAAACAGCACTTTTTTCGGCAAGTAGTCGATGATATTTTTCACGTTGTGCTTTTGCATTAATAGCATCTGATTTGTTACAACGCCGCCAGTTGCAATTTTTTGAACAAGAAGCGGTTCATAATCGCCACAACCATTCAGATCTCGATAAGGGAGACCAGAATTTCGGCCCACGGAATTTTCGGTCCGGGCCGAAAGTTCACAAGGGATTTCGGCCCATGACCGCATTGATCCTAAAATAAAAAACCTAACTTTTCAAAATTAGTTGCTAGACATCGCAGTGTGGGTGTGGGTGGGTAAATCTTCAGATGTTAGAACACCCATACCCACACCCCATACCCTCTGCTCAGCACTACGTCATACTACTCAGCACTATGCTATACCGCTGAGCACTATGACGTCCTGCACAGCACTATGATGTCTAGCAACTAATTTTGAAAGGTTAAGTTTTTTATTTTAGAGTCAATGCGGTCATAGGCGGAAAGTCCACAAGGAATTTCGGCCCGGCCCGAAAATTCCGTGGGCCGAAATTCATGGAACTCCTCGATAATCCTCAGGCAAATTTTGTTCGATGTACCAATCACAATATAATTCGGTGATCTTAACACTGGTGTCAATATCGTACAATGGCGTATCACTGTTGGCCATTGTTTCATTATACACTCCGAAAATGTAAGTCGGCGAGACGGTCATATCAAAACTGAGATTAACCAAATATTCTCGTTGATATTGATTTGCATTTTGAATATGAAAACTTGATTCTGCTATAACAACTTCCTTTGTAAACTACCAGCAGAAATGAACATCATATTTGTAATTTATATACATCGTCGTTCGATCAAGACGAGTCAAATTCGTTCCCAAAACAAGATTAGCCTCAGTACCACGGCCTATAATAGCAAGAAACCAAAATCGTCATGTGATGTTCACTCAGCATTATTCACTTTTGAATCGAATTTTGGGATGCAGGTTTGACAGTACGTATGGCTGAAAATAACATTGGGACCCACACCTACACTCCCACATTCTTTGTGCTTCAAAGTTTGAGTATCACTTAAGTATGATATAGTGTTCAGTCTTCTAGCAAGGTAGATTTGTATAAAATGAGCTTGAATTAACATGTTGGTGACACATGTTGATACTACATTTGAAATATCTACGAAGGTGTAAAGAGTAACTTTACGATATCCTTGATGCATTCTGTAGTGCATTAAAATACAGCACTTCCACTTTTTTCTCTCGTAGAGAGATCCCATCATCTATAGGCCATATTATGAGGAGACTGAATCTTCCATGTTGGAAAGTCTGCTACACCTTTATAGACATATCAAAATCTCTGTCAGTCGTTTAGTAGATTAAAAGTACATCGGCGTACTTGATGAGGTCTTTGTAGCAAGCTGAGGCGATAGAATCAATACTTTTGCCATATATTTTAGCATTCATTGATAATCATCTCTAACAACAGCATTATAATAGTGAGCCTAGTCAATACCTTAATATGTTTAAAGTGATTGACACATGAATTGAGCCCAGCTGAGCTAAGCTGGGTTGGTTTTAGAACTGCTCGCTGGGAGTCCTGACTCTTACATGTTCAATATCTAAAACCGGCACATATTAATGGACATATATGCATGTATCAAAATAGATGTATGCTTCTTAAACAGTAGAAGCGAATCCAAATTCCTGCCTCAATAAACGAATATGTATTATTGAAATGAAAACTTTATTAGAATCTGAAAACCAAAATTAATCCACCAGTTTGTATTGATTGTCAACAACTACCGAATTGTTCAATACGTATCATTCTTTATTGTTATATGTTCCCCTTTGCTCAAGCATCGATTACTTATTTCATTTGCTTTTGTGTGATTTCCAGATACTTTTGATGCAATAGAAACTATTTCGTAATATGTGTCTTTAGCCAATTGATATAGCCTCATCGAATTGTAGAGATCCGCTAAATCTTCGTAGAAAGGCAGAAGAGATGTTTTATCGATAACTTTCTTAGAAATGTCAAATAGTTTATTGTACCAGTCAATCACTGTACCGAGATCATCGATTTTCTTGCTATGATCTATTATTTGTTTACAGGTATTTTGGATGATGTCTGAAGACAGATCATTATGTGTAAGAAAATTAAGAAAAAACCTGGTAAACAATGCGATAGCATGATGGGATGGCTGATCACTCAGATACTTCTCTGCAACATATTCTAAGTATGCTTCTACATCATCAGACTCCAGATGTATTAGTGCTCTTTCGAACCATGGTAATGCTAGATCCAGACATTTTTTGCCACAATATATGTCTCCCATTTCTCGATACAATAAAAACGATTCTTTATCATTCTTGTTGTCAGAAGTAATATATTCAATAAAATTTTCATTGTTTTTCATTATCTTGTCGAAGCCTTCTTCTTTATACGAGTCTTGATTTATATCTAACACAGCGACTAAAAATGTGCGCTTATTATAGGAACAGTATCGATTCAAATTTAACCAAGATTCGAGAGCACATTCGAAAGATTCATCAGCGGCTATAGCATGACTAAGTATATCATTAATAGAGGATATTAATTTATATTTTCCATCATGTTTGCATTTGTGTGCATATTGAAGAAATATTTCTAGTATGTCATTCAGTGCCCAGGAAAAGAAACAACCAAATCCAAGTTGGATAACTTTGTCATAATATTTTAATAATTCATCACATTTATTCTGAGTGAAATGAATCGATGCAATACAATTGTAAATTGTAAAAAGAATGCATTGCTGATAATGGTCTCGTTTTTGAAATTCGTCATTCATATTTATTTGTTTATGAGGTAATTTGGATGACGATTGTTCTTCATCGTAAAATTTTAGGGCTTCCTTCTGATGCTTTAAAGCTAAATCATAGTTTTTTTCCCGAAATTCAAGTAAACCAATGCCACATAAATAAGCTCCATAGCTGAATACATTTGATAAACATTGACGTAGTAATGTATAGTATTTAGTGATTTTCCCATAATCCAACCTCATTCTACCCATCCAATATCCAACCACGAGAAGTTCAGCTTCGTTCATGCTTTTTTCTTCGACTCGACAATTCCTTTCTCTAGTAGAATAATCTTCGTCACACCAGTCGTCGAGGCAACTTACATCAATTGTTTTAAGTTGAATTAACCAATAATGAAAGCCATCGTTTTTGGTAACATGCATTTTTTTAAATGAAGTACCTATGCTTAGAAGAATTTCGCCTTCCCATTGAAAATAACTCACTCCTTCAATATTAGCTAAAGGTTTTTGCATATCACTGGTGATCTCAATTTCTAACAGTACTTGTTGCAATTCATCGTTGTCAGAATAGTACTTCTTACCATCAATACCAGCGAAAGCCATTGCAGTATTACGATCTTTGGTTGCAGAAAAAAAATGATTAACAAAAAGAGTATTCGTCATGTCATTGCTTGTCAACCTATCAAGTTCATATTTTGACATGAGTTGTCCACGATACACTTTTTGAATTGAACTTGTATTTTCTTTCTTGTATTCGATTTCAAGTTGTTGATATAAGTCAAAAATAAAAAAGTGCATAAGAACTGCCACTTCGATGCTTTTACATCTGAGCATTCTGCTACACAATTTATAGATGAAGGTATCGCGAGTATACCACCAAATAGCAGATGAGGGTTTATAAGTTCGTTCAAACTCATCTATAATTTCTTGCTCTTTCTTGTTGTTTTTATAATATTGTCGACATTTTTGAATAAATTGATTTTTAGAATTGCAATCATACATTGTTCTGCATAATACACTTATGAAAAGTTGAAACCACATAATACCTTTGTCCTTAAAGCAAAGTTGTTCCCACGATTGCGTTGTCATTTCATTGTCATATGAATGAAATATCTCCATTTCATTCGATATTTTTGAAATATCCTTTAGCAATTGATGTAGCAATTCATTCTGGTTTTGGTAGACACGTTCAATCTAAGATAAGATCTATTGAACTAATCATACTTCCTCAAAAAGTAAAATATACTC